CTCTGTTTCTGTCTCTCTCTCTCTGTCTCACTCTCTCTCTGTCTCACTCTGTCTCTGTCTCTGTCTCACTCTGTCTCACTCTCTGTCTCACTCTGTCTCACTCTGTTTCTGTCTCACTCTCTCTCTGTCTGTCTCTGTCTCACTCTCTCTCTGTCTCTCTCTCTCTCTCTCTCTGTCTCTCTCTCTCTGTCTCACTCTGTCTCTGTCTCTCTCTCTCTCTGTCTCGCTCTCTCTCTCTGTCTCACTCTCTCTGTCTCGCTCTCTCTCTCTGTCTCACTCTCTCACTGTCTCTCTCTCACTCTGTCTCTGTCTCACTCTCTCACTGTCTCACTCTCTCTCTGTCTCGCTCTCTCTCTCTGTCTCACTCTCTCTGTCTCGCTCTCTCTCTGTCTCACTCTCTCACTGTCTCTCTCTCACTGTCTCACTCTGTCTCTGTCTCTCTGTCTGTCTCTCTCTGTCTCACTGTCTCACTCTCTCTGTCTCACTCACTCTGTCTCACTCTGTCTCTGTCTCTCTCACTCTGTCTCTCTCTCTATGTCTCACTCTCTCATTGTCTCTCTCTCTCTGTCTCACTGTCTCACTGTCTCACTCTCTCTCTGTCTCACTGTCTCACTCTGTCTCTCTGTCTGTCTCACTCTCTCACTGTCTCACTCTCTCTCTGTCTCACTCTCTCTGTCTGTCTCTGTCTCACTCTCACTGTGTCTCACTCTCTCTTTCTCACTCTGTCTCACTCTCTCTCTGTCTCACTCTGTTTCTGTCTCACTCTGTCTCACGCTGTCTGTCTCTCTGTCTGTCTCACTCTCTCTGTCTCACTCACTCTGTCTCTGTCTCACTCTGTCTCTCTCACTCACTCTCTCTGTCTCACTCTCTCTCTGTCTCACTCTCTCACTGTCTCACTCTATCTGTCTCACTCTGTCTCTCTCTCTATGTCTCACTCTCTCATTGTCTCACTCTCTCATTGTCTCTCTCTATCTCTGTCTCACTCTGTCTCACTCTCTCACTGTCTCACTCTCACTCTGTCTCTCTGTCTCACTCTGTCTCTCTCTCTATGTCTCACTCTCAGGGAGGTTATAACTTATCATCCATCTCTGACTCCATGGCCATGTGCACCAGCGTGTTGCTAGGAGACCCTCCTCCCTCCTTGGCAACGCCCCTCCCCCCTCCTCATCACAGCGCCGTGGCGACAATCAACGAGGTCATCGGCCACCACGCCCCCTACTGGAGCTCACTGAGGATACACAGTCAGTCCATTATTGGTTTCTGTTTCATTTATTCTTGATTTTATTTATTTTTATTTTTATATATAATATAATAACTTCCTGTCTTTCAGTCGCAGAGTCTGTGCGGGCGTCCCTGCCCTCCCTGAAGCATCGTGGGAAACGTAGTTCTAAAGGAAAAGGCAGGAAGTCTGAGCAGAGCAGCACAGACAGACCGCCGCTGCCCCCTACAGGACAGGAGGACACGACGGTAACACAGAGTTCAGATTCATCAACATCACAACGAAAAAACAAACAAAGTCCGAGTGTTGTTTCCTGTTTGTTGTTTTTATCCAATCAGACGCAGCGCAGTCTGGAGCAGCTCACGCAGGGATTGGCCGGTTTGGACATCAGTCAAACCTCAGCCGCTCCTGCTGCGTCTACCCCTGTGGGCGGGGCCAGACCAAAGGTCCGCCCCAGTCCGGAGAAGGTCGCCTGCGAGGGTGAAGTGAAGGAGGAGTCATCTGAGCAGAGCCAATCAGCAGAGAGCACGGCGCCGCCGACCCAGGTCAGCTGATTGTTGTGAAGAAGGATTCACACTTCTTCTTTCGCACTGTAACGTCAGTATTTTATACTTCCTGTCTCATTAACTGCTCGCAGGCTGTTGTCGCGGCAACGTCAGAGTCGGTTGCCGCCGGAGACGAGGCTGTTGGCAAAGTGGGGGCGGAGCCAGAGGGAGCGTGTGGTTGGTCTAAGCCTGAGGCGTCTGTGGAGCTGCTGTGTGGAGGACAAACCGACGTCAGGAACTATTATTTTATATCAATGAATTTAATAATCAATAATCAATCAATAATCAATTAATAATCAATCAATAATTCGTCTGTCCTCAGGCCACTCTGTATGTGGTGGACCCTCTGCCCTGGTGTCCTCACCTGGATGCTGTTAAGCCCCTCCCCCCCTCAGGTATCGATATCTTCCAGGTGTGTGAGGACTGCGGCTCCGACGCGGAGAACTGGACCTGTCTCACCTGCTACCAGGTGACCTGTCTCACCTCATCTTCTCACACGCTGTCTCACTGCTGTTGGCGTAAAGTGTCTCACCTGTCCTCCGCTCTGTCTTAGGTGTTCTGTGGTCGTTACGTTAACGAGCACATGGTGACTCACGGCGTCGTATCCGAGCACCCGATGGTCCTGAGCTTCTCCGATCTGTCTGTGTGGTGTTACCTGTGTGAGTCCTACGTCCACAACCAGGTAACGTCTCCTGGTGACACCTGCTCACCCTGACTGCAGTCTGTAATGTGGATTCCTGAAGTCATTGTGGTTTTCACTCTACAAGATTGATCAGTAATCAATACTCTCAT